AATCAAAATCAATTCATGATTTATTAAAGAATATTTAATTTCATTAATGTAATGAAATCAAATCTATCGAATCGAACCAATGATGATGAAATGGTAGAATGATATACACTTTTGCTGTTAGGTGGCGCCACTGCACCCATGTGCTTAGGTTACTGCTTGACCCCACGTGTATCTATGCAATTCGAAGTCAAATCAGGAGTATGCTTAAGCGTAAACTTGCGCTTAGCCCAGTGATGAGGCTAACACATACGCTTCGGCTTATGTCTGAAGCGTATGCCCACACCGCCATCAGTGATGGCGCCGTGGCGCTCGTCAACAGCAAAAATACCGAATAATGATCTAACGAGAAATTATTTACATTATTAAAATGCTATGATTATCTATGATCAAAATGATTAGATCGATAGGAGAACGTGATTGAGCAAGCACCATTCAACGTTTGTGCAAAACGGTTTATGAAACCGTATCGAAAATACAATCTATTCGGATTCTTCTCGTTACTCTATTCAATTCCCATCGAATTTGTTCCACTCGAACAATTTCTGAAATTAAAAAAAGTGCATCATGACAGCTCTCACTTTTCAGCTTTCAACTGGTTGAAACTTTTTCAGAATGTTTTCAACGAAAAAATGTTAGATTTTGAAAGTACTCGCATAGCAGAGAACGGCACAAGACGAGAATTTCTCATTGTAAACATGAGATCAGTTCCACACCGCTAAATTTTTTGTTGTTTGCATTGAGGTGTTCCAAAGTCTAACAAGTGTCTTCAATAAATTCGATCGCTGAACTCACAAATAACCGCAAAGGCATTTCTGTTGGTTTCGTACATACTTATGTCTTCGATATGCGTGACACTAATTTTGCTTATGTCTTTCATGTACGCGAATAATGTAGCGGGCCACAATTATGATTAAATCGTGTGTACGACATACGAAAGACATGTCGTAGAGCCATTTTATGTGCGAAATGTGTGCGAGACATATAGAAGATATGTCGCCAGAATTTTCAGTGTTGTCTTGGGATTACCCAAAGCTCTGTCCTTACGTAATAAAATCGAAACAGTTTCCTCGCAACTCACCGCTCTTATCGCTGCACTACGCTCCATTGATCAGCTCCAAAATGCTCGTTCGCAAGCCCGCAATCAGCCCGAACAAACCCATCGTTATCAACAACACATTTGCAATCACCTTCCTAGCGATCCTCCATTTGCTCGCTTTTGTGTGAATCAAACACGGTAAAAATGTCACCGTATCCAAAGTGGCCGGTATAACGAAAGCCAGCAGCATACTCGAGCAAATGCCCACCAATGGAATGATCGTCTCAAGTCGCGGAACGGCCAGTGCAACGATCACTGCAAAACGTTCATATGAATTCATCTCAAGTCTCTACTCCTTGAAAGCTTTATTCTATCGGCACTTTCCAGCAGCACATGATACTGCTCTTTGGAAAGCTAAACACGAACACGTGCAGCTACATTAAGATTTTTTTTTCCACAACACTCGATTGTGAATTTTGCTGGAACTTGAATTCTGTCTCAGCTAGCAGAAATAAGAGGAGGGTTCAATTCGGATTTTGTTGATAGAAATATTTCAATGACTGTTTTAGAATTGAAAAGTTTTAAGGAATGAAAAATACATGAGAACAATTCAATCGAATGCGATCAGAATAAGCCTATTTTTGCAAAATAACAGTGTAACTAACTCGCAATAGTGACCAACAGCGACCTGAACGCATAGTTGCCGATAACAACACACTTCTTGCTCGATGAGCAAATACTCAACTTCACTATATTGTCTTTCACAACCGGCCATAACATATCAATGATAACGTATTCTTGGATAACGAATCCAACATAGATGACCACAACTAACATCACTTTGACGAGTGTATACAATCTGCAAGCATCACTATCACTGTTGGATTCCTAGGTTGCAACTCTGTTTTTTGACAAATTTCGATAATTTCGTATTAGTATCAATGTAGCCACCTTTTGCAACCTATCCGTTTTATTCATCTTTTAAGTATATCCATTTTCCAACTCATACGTCTCACTTCAACAGAGATTTACTGTGCTCTAAGTGGCCTTTGATATCATGAAGTAGCGGTGTAAGTGACAGGGATAGTTGGATGCATGAGCGAGATAGTGGAAACGGAATCATTTTCGATGCAAATATTCGAAAGAACATGTTTGATAGCGGATAAGCAGTCTCTTCTCATCAGCATTCTAGATAAGATCTCTTAAGATGATTGTGGCAGTGTAGCTGAGTCTCAGAATCTGCTATCGATAGGTCATTCAGAAGAAATTAACATTTAGTGAACTG